CTCGGACGACATTTTCGCTAAGGAAAAAGTTGTTTCAAATCACCTCCCGAACCACCTCTTTCAAGGATTCTAATCTCCAACATTTTTGGGACACCCTGTAGCCTACGCACACGTAAATATTTATTATTATTATTATTAATCAGTAAAACTAAAAGTATCGTCGTTAAATTAACAGAAAAATATTGTTAGACCGGGACGTGTGATTTGCGTTGAATTTAACAAAAACTATTTAAAGCTGTGCGTGACCATTTAACAGTTGGAGAGATTCTGCACGCGTCTCTAGTTATCTCGATAACGAGAATTCTCCTCCATTACGCCGCCATCGTCCCGTCGAGGGCTCGAACGATAGTAAACAATAGAAGGGAATCCGCGTGAAAATACGAAAATAGTTGGAATTGGACGGCAAAAGGATTCCGTTTCTTCTATCTCTTGCTTTGCCGCTCTGTTTGCTTCGTATCGACTGTGTAGCTCTTCAGTCAATCAACAATATCGACACGTTACCTTTCTCTCTCTCTCTCTTTCTCTCTAACCCCCAGCCACGAAATATAGAACAGAGAGAGTATCTCTCCTCTCCGAGCGACCAAGGAAATGGCCTCTAACCGCTTTCGAGACAATTCCTTTTAGCCGAACGACGCTCTTTAAACACAGAAGAGGGTATCGACCGACGCCAAATGAAAGAGAACGTCGATTACATTAAACCTGAAACGTGCGTTATTCTATTCACAATGATAAATTGACCCAGCCTTGTTCACTCACAGGAACTGGCTCGATACGCGAAAAAAATCCACGCGACGTCCACGGAATGAATATAAATATAACTCTCATTCCGACAGCAACCTTTCGTATATACAGAGTGAGGCATTCGAAACAGGCTACCTGAATAATTCGCTTACTTTTAACGATAGACAACAAAATACGTCGGACAAGAGTTGTTTGATTTCGAGGGCCACGTAACTTGGTGCCAATAATTTTTTTATCAGTGGATGTGTAGAGACGATACGAAGGTCGATAATGTATTTTTAAATAGATTATTTTTGCGGTGCTACTTCGAGAGAGTGTAATAATATACAGGGTGTTCCAAAAATGTTGGAGGTCCTTGAAAGGGGTGGTAAAAGAGGTTTTGGGAGGTGATTTGAAACAATTTTTTCCTTAGCGAAAATGTTGTCCGAGACTTCGTTGCGGAAATATTAACAGAAAACGTCGACCAATCAGAGCGCGAGGCGGCCGCGCTCCCCGACCAATCAGAGCGCGAGTATGCCGGTGGAGCGGCCGCGGTAGCGTACGAGCCTGGCCGCCTAGCGCGTAGTCAACGATACCGCGGCCGCTCTATCGGCATACTCGCGCTCTGATTGGTGGGGAAGCGCTACCTCGGGCGTTCTGATTGGTCCGGAGTTTTCCGTTAATATCTTCCCAACCAAGCCTCGGACAACATTCCCGCTAAGGAAAAAGTTGTTTCAAATCACCCCCAGAACCACCCCTCTCAAGGTGTTACAATCATTTTTGGGACACCCTGTATAATTAAGCAGAAAATTGTTAAGGTTAAGGACAGAAATTTTTAAGGTTAGGAAGACGAAATGAACCACCCCTCTCAAGGTGTTACAATCATTTTTGGGACACCCTGTATAATTAAACAGAAAATTGTTAAGGTTAAGGACAGAAATTTTTAAGGTTAGGAACACAAAATGTTCCTATCGATGAAAAAGGCGTCGGTGATAGGATCGTCCCGTTAAACCCGAACGATATAAATTATTTGAAATTATTCCGAAAAAGGAGCACGATAATTAATTAGTCATCGGTTCTATGCGATCACCCTGATTAGATCATCGCGAATTCCTGTCGGTCCCGACGCCTGTCACGCCTATCGTGCTCATTCCGTACACGCGAATGGAACAAGTTGTTTAACGGCGGCCCGAGTTGTAATACGATGAAAATAGAGTTGTGAGTAAAAATTACGTAAACCCGATGAATGAATCAGGTTGAACTTTCCAAGTGAAAATCTGCAGGGACACCGATCGACTCAGTTCCATCGCGCTGCTCGAACCGGTGATGCGTCTTCTCGTCGCGTACAACGTCGTCTCGCACGTTTTCCGTCAAACTGGATATATCGAAATCGTCGAACGTGTACGTGTAAGTGTGCGTGCACGTGGTAGCCTTAAAACATTTCGATCCTCTTAGAATTATCTCTGTACAACATTCGCAAACATTTTTCGTCGACATATCGCGCTATTACGAGAGAATTGTTCGTTTCCAGTAGCAAACAACCGCCAGGAACGTTCGAGTAACGCTTTACATAATTATTTTTTACAAATATATAAGTTAGATAAAAGTAACTTGTAGAATATTTGATATTTTCTTTAATGAAATGAAATAAAATAAAATATGTATATATATAATAATTATTTGACACGTTGACGTCGCAAGTGGACATTTATAAATTCGTCGATCTTGAGAATATATATTTTTAAAAATATCTTCTGTATTTAACGACGATTTCATATCTCGTCGAGATGTACATCTTTCGTTTACGATAATTCTTCAAAGGGTAACTTTCTTTTTTCAAGTTATTTTTCTTCCTTTCTTTAGGAATTTATTTCTGGTAAACAATAGAAGATACATCCGTATATCATTCGACAAAATATGCTTCATTTCGACCCAGGAAACGAAAAATAATTTTTATAGTCATTTTTAGACTTTTACCCAAAGACCTAGCCCAGACCTAACCTAATTCCCTTTCCAATTGTTAAAGAGATCTTTCCTCCATTTTTAAATAATTACATGTTGATTTCAGAGAAAAACTTTGTATACATTTTTTGTGCAGTTCTATGAGATCTATACGAAAAAAAAGTTTCAATCCAAAATGTTCATTATTAAGAGAGGTATTAATTTTGTAAGATTGGGGAGCTCTTACATTTGGAATTAAATGATAATATTGGAATAGTGACGGGATAAAAAGTGGCCCTTTGAAAAAATGCTTTAAACAAAAGTTTTAGATCTTGAGGAGATATGAAATTGTTGTCAAATATACTTTTTCGAGAAATTAATATTTTTCGAGAAATTGATATTTTTCGACGATTACATTTTCATACCATTTTTCTTCCTTTCTTTAGGAATTTATTTCTGGTAAACAATAGAAGATACATCCATATATCATTCGACAAAATATGCTTCATTTCGACCCAGGAAACGAAAAATAATTTTTATAGTCATTTTTAGACTTTTACCCAAAGACCTAGCCCAGACCTAACCTAATTCCCTTTCCAATTCTTAAAGAGATCTTTCTTCCACTTTTAAACAATTACATGTTGATTCCAGAGAAAAACTTTGTATACATTTTTTGTGCAGTTCTATGAGATCTATACGAAAAAAAAGTTTCAATCCAAAATGTTCATTATTAAAAGATTTACGAATTTTTCAATTTTTCAATTTTCGAAACTAAACATCGTACGAATAAACTACAAGTACAACAAACTTTCGTTTCGCCATTCCCTGTAAGAAGATATTTGTTTTAAAAATTCATTCGACGAATTTAAAAATGTCGCCCGCTCGGCGCGGGGTGCTCAAAGTACGATCGCGACCCTGTCGGTGAAATTTCCCTGGAATAATCGCCTCTCGATGACAAAATTAACGCAGAATTCCGAAATTCCGTGCTCTCGGAATAAAGTAATTCGATCGTTCCGCTTTCCCTGTTCGCGCCCCAACTGCCGTTATTTATTTGCCGTAAATCGTTTGATTCATCCCTGGAAAGAGGTGTGGAGGGGGGGAAAAAGGAGGAAAAACAGCGAAACTCCGGGCGCAGTACGCGTGCGAGCGGCTAGAGGGCAACACGAATCGATTACCATTTCGCTAATGGCTTATTTCAGTTAACACGCCTTTCCGAGGCGAAGCAGGTTTCGCTGTTTGTTGGCCGCGCGTTAGGTTTACCCACGTACAGAGTGGTCGACAGGGAAGAATGAAGCTCCAAGGCCCTTACCAGTGAAGAGAGATCGGTTTGCATGCCAATACGCGATCCGCTCTCCGTCGCGACTCGTACACTGTCACCAGAAGGTAAACGGATTTTCTCTCTTCGTCCCTCGCCGTCGGTCTGTCTCTCTCCCGCGGTCACCGCGTATTTTTAGATCGTCTATCGTCGATGTTGAATCGTCCCGTACCGTTATTCCTCCTCGCCGTGACATAATTTCGGAAGTAAACGTCTGGCTCTCTCGACGTCGCGGGTCGTTCCTCGCCAACGACTCTCGCCAGGGTACATAACCTCAAAACCGTGTCGGCGTTTATTGACAGTCGCGATTCGCTCGCGTTCCTCGATGAGAACGACGCTCGTATCCGCGTAAACGATCGCGTATCCGCCGCTTTCCTGCTCGATCTCAATCCTCGACGGCCACGAATCGATAAAATTCGAGTTCACCGACGCCGAGGCTCCTGGCGTGTCCTACGAAGGCGGTTGCGCGGCGTACAATCGGTTCCTGTTACGTCCTAGGTCCTCGGTTCCTAGTCTCTCACTGAGGCAATACATAATCCTTGCTGCTACAGGATTCTTGATCCTTGCGATAGTTACTCTTTCTTAAAACTGATTGTTCGTACACAAGACTCTAGTCTTGCGAATGGTTCGCTTCGACCCTGGTAGGAAAATGCCAGACGAGGTCTACTTCTCTCAATTTTTCTATACTAGTAGAGCGAGCTTTCAGGAAACTTTGATACAATTATCCCAACTATGTAAATAACTACGAATGGGATTATCGGATCGTATGCTAATAGTTACTCTTTCTTAAAACTGATTGTTTGTAGACAAGACTCTAGTCTTGCGAATGGTTCGCTTCGACCCTGGTAGGAAAATGCCAGACAAGGTCTACTTCTCTCAATTTTTCTATAACTTTGATACGATTATTGCCACTATGTAAATAACTACGAATAGGATTATCAGATTATTATAATGTGTCCCATACATAAACAAAATAACTGGGTCTAACCTTTTTTTCTGAACATGGTTTATTCTCGTGTTGCAGCTATTGGTCCTCCAATATCCTGGAGGCCAGTGGTGTCAGTGACACCAGAGAATAATACGAGCTGCTAGCGTGAAGAAGTGCAGTGGAGTTGGCTTAGGCCAACGTCGGTGGACGAGGCAAAATGGCAACGATAGATGGCCGACCCGCCCAATATGGTATCACTCTCAAGCAACTTCGCGAGCTCATGGAGCACCGAGGACGCGAAGGTGTCAATAAAATCAATAGCCATGGTGGTGTGCAGGAAATTTGTAAAAAATTATACACTTCACCCAGCGAAGGTAACTGTTTCATCTGTACTCCATCCGTATCAACCCCACGGTCTTAGAACTTTCTAACGAAAAATGTTTTTACCATCTAGGTCTCAGTGGATCAGCGGCAGATATCCAACATAGACGTGACACATTTGGTTCGAATCTAATACCACCAAAACCACCAAAAACGTTTCTACAATTAGTGTGGGAAGCTTTGCAAGATGTTACGTTAATCATCTTGGAAGTAGCTGCATTGGTTTCGTTAGGTCTTAGTTTTTATCACCCAGCAGACGACGAGGAACAATGTGAGTGTGAATCAGATACACACGATCGTATCTTTGTTGATATTTCTTAATCGCAGGATTAAGGAAAAAACAGATTTAGATTCTGTAGACTTGCAGCAGTAGCGTTGATAACGTATGCGATAAAGATATGTCGATTATTATATAATATTGGGATAAATCAAGTGCATGTGCATGTTTGTTTTAATAACTGCGTAAAGTAGAATATTCATGTCGACGATACAATTGGGAAGAAAAGAAGCTTATGAAATATCTCTTTCGTAAATTTCCAGCTGGTTCATCGATGGAAGAAGATGAAGCCAAGTATGGTTGGATCGAGGGACTTGCTATATTAATTTCTGTGATCGTGGTGGTATTAGTAACAGCTTTCAATGATTACTCTAAGGAAAGACAATTTAGGGGCCTCCAGAGTCGGATAGAAGGGGAACATAAATTCTCGGTTATTCGGCAAGGCGAGGTCAAACAGATCTCCGTGTCTGACATAGTTGTCGGTGACATTTGTCAGGTACGTGTACGGTTGGCGAACTTGTCCCTTTTCGTTAGCCAATAAACGAAACTACAGAAAAGTATTAGGTTGTCCCGAAAGTTTCTTTCGCGAGTTGCACTCAATTATTTTATGTGATCGTGTTTATATAAATAGACAATATAATTTCATAGATATTCATGTTGTAACAGTAATGGAGCAAAATGAATCGTGCACAATTCAGTAATGTAACATAAAACATCAGCTATTGTGCATGTATTACTTATTAATAAAGCGAAAGAAACTTTTGGGACAACCTAATATATACGCACGCTTCAAATTCAACTTACGATTCTTAACGAATGCAACGAGTGTCGTGACATTTTATCGAAAAATGACGAGTATTAGGAGTAGGCGTGTTCTGTACTTGGCATTTAAAGTTGGCTAGTTCTCGAGCATGATTTCCTCGTTCATAGACACGTTGAAATGTTTTTCGCGTCGATGCCAATCAGCTCCGAGTCACGAACATTATTTTAGTAGGAAATATCATTTTCTTTTGTGTCGAATAATAAAGAAGGCCTTCCTTAAATTGGACGATCTGCAATTCAGATAAAGTATGGAGACCTGCTGCCAGCAGATGGTGTTCTTATACAAAGCAACGATCTCAAAGTGGATGAGTCCAGCTTAACCGGCGAGTCAGACCATGTTAAAAAGGGGGAATCATTCGATCCCATGGTACTCTCAGGTAAGAACGTTTGGAACGGATCGAATACGAAAGCGTCCGTCTCGATTCGAAACTAACGATTTTTTTTTCCAAAGGTACTCACGTGATGGAGGGTTCCGGGAAAATGTTAGTTACCGCAGTAGGTGTTAATTCCCAGGCTGGTATTATCTTTACTTTGTTGGGTGCCGCTGTTGATCACCAGGAACAAGAGATTAAGAAGATGAAGAAAGGTATGTGGCGTTGATTTCACCGGATAGCATTCGATGTCACGTGTCGTTGTTAGTCTCGACGAGTTGGGGATGATCGGAGTACCGTACCTCTCGTACAACTGCCATTTTTAAAGCGACGTCTCTAATACGAATATTTACATTAAATTCATTTAACGGTATCGTGTCTTCAGAGAGCAGTCTGCTTAACTTTAACGAAATTGTTTTGAGAGTGGCATAGTTTACGAATCGATAGTGTACCGAATACGGTATACTAAATATTTATTCAACCTGCTACTTCTCTCTGGCATAGAAAATAGGAATCGTCGAATAGACGAATCGCAGGGGGATTTGTTCGTTAATAGCGCGAGAGGAAGTTGAAGAGTAGTAGCTGGTAATAGGAAAGTTCTGCATGATACAAAATACAAAAGTAAACGTAGAGAGATACCAGGTGACGCATGCTATTTATTTCGAATTAGTGTGAAAATACATTTCCTTTTTTTCTGAATTTATTTCTAGGTATCTGTGACCCCTTGTTCCTTTGGCATGCGTTTGCAATACCTTTAAATAATGTTTCACTTATTTGCTAATTATAGTAGCCAAAGAAAATACTTGTATATTAATTCTTTTGCTTAGATATATACAGTCAGCGTAAGAAGCATTCATACAGCAACCAATTCAAAATAAATGGTTCCTGTATGAAAAGAAGTATTCGTACAGCACTCAATTTAAAATAAATCGTTCCTGTATTAAAAGAAGCATTCGTACAGCACTCAATTTAAAATAAATGGTTCCTGTACAAAAAGAAGTATTCGTACAGCAACCAATTTAAAATAAGTGGTTCCTGTATGAAAAGAAGTATTCGTACAGCAACCAATTTAAAATAATTGGTTCCGGTATTAAAAGAAGTATTCGTACAGCACTCAATTTAAAATAAATAGTTCCTGTATCAAAAGAAGTATTCGTACAGCAACCAATTTAAAATAGATGGTTCCTGTACGAAAAGAAGTATTCGTACAGCAACCAATTTAAAATAAGTGGTTCCTGTACGAAAAGAAGTATTTGTACAGCACTTGATTTAAAATAAATGGTTCCTGTATGAAAAGAAGTATTCGTACAGCAACCAATTTAAAATAAATGGTTCCTGTATGAAAAGAAGTATTCGTACAGCAACCAATTTAGAATAAGTGGTTCCTGTACGAAAAGAAGTATTCGTACAGCAACCAATTTAAAATAAGTGGTTCTTGTACGAATACTTGTTACACTGACCTTACGTACAAAATTATTCGCAATCATGTTGAACGAAAGGAGAAGAACAAATATCGCTTTCCTTTTAAACGAAGCAATAATGCATAAAATTAAGAAATTGCAAGTACCATTTACCATGGAACAGTTAATGCTCTCGTTATTACGATACTACCTGATCGCATTGTACAGCTTCTCGAGATGTCTCGAATCAGTCTGCATTTGGTTGTAAATGTTCGTATCTTTCTTTCACGTGTTCATGTACAGACTTTTTACCGAATGATTTGGGAATAACTTTTGGCCTCGTTGTCGCGCGAACGTCGATTCTCGCTAATCGAGGATTACAAATTTCTTGTGATCTAACGAGACCCACCCTGAATTAGCGAGAATCGATCTCGACATGTAAAGAATTGAACAGGCTCTAAACTCTAGAAACGCTTCTTTGTGATTTACGTTGTGTATGTTTCTTTTTGTTGTCGCCACAACCTGGAAGGCCCTTTAAGTGTCGCAGAATGTTACCTTTTTTTTTTACACGTTGCTCTAGTAAAATGATCAAAGTAAAATCGGCCAGAGCCGCGAACCTTCTGGGCTGTCCACTTAGAATTAAGCGTTTGACGAAACTAGAGAGAGATCTTAGACTAGAGAATATTAAATTACGAATATGGCGTAACTTACGACTGGCATATTACATTTTTAGATAGATTGCTAATCGATTTTGTTTTGCATGCGTTTTTTTATCTAGAGGCTAAGAAGCAGCGGAAGAAGAAGTCGTTAACAGGTGAATAAAGTACTATCATAAATTATTACTGTTCATCATTTTTCGGTGTTAAACGTGTACGTGTACGTGTACGTTCGGTGAACACACGTATTTTCTTTATTTATTTCTCTCTCTCTTTTTTTTTTTTTTGTCTTTCATCTTACATATACGTATAAAGAGTACACACACATACGCGTTACGAGAAATAACCATTTTTTGGAGATCTATTAGTTCAAATCTTTGACTTTTCACTCTATCTGTTTCGTTACTGCACACTCTATGGCCTGTTTGTCTATACTTTGAAGAATCTTTACATCTGTCTCTATTTTTTCTTTTTTTCTTCTTTTTTCTTTTTCTTTTTTAAATCAATCTTTTAAAGAAATACAAAGTTGTCTCTGTACGTTCTCCATCTTTTCAGTGTTTCAGCATTTGACGAATACACCGGACTATTTGACTATCTGTACAGCTTCTTCTGCATTTTAGCCATAGCTTTAGATCTATGATTTCCCCTTATGCGTTCTCAAAGATGTAATCCTTACGCTTTGTATCTCGTTTCTTTATTATCATCCTTTCGCCAGCTTAGCGTACTACTTATATTTCTTCTTCCCTTTCTTCGATAGATACTGATTATACTAATATTAGTCGGCAATACCGTCGTACAAAATTAGAAAGTGTAAGTGTAATCTAGCCGCAAATGCCCGGAACAGTTCGATTCCTGCCGCCTTTCATCTGACGCCGGGTCCAACTTCTAGACCTCCTCGTTTCTGCAAACATGGACACGGTTCGCCTTGTACTATTTTCAATATTCTGGAAGCAACGTTACTTCTTCTCCTTCTAAGAGACAGGTCGTCGCGGTTGGCGGAGGAGGCGGCGACCGTCTCCTGGAGGGAGAATTCTAACGTTATCAAAGATAGAGAAAGGAGAGAAAAGCGCAGGCATCGAGCTCGGGAAGCGTAGACCTTTGGAAAAACTGAGACCAGCGTGTATGTTGCAAATGAAGGAGACGAGGCTGGAGAAATAACTGGAAACAGTCACGTGAGCGGAGGAGCCAAGCACGAGGCCGGGGAGAATCATCAAGCAGCCAGCCAAGGGAGCGGAGGAGAAGGAAAGAAGGAGAAGAGTGTTCTTCAAGCTAAGCTAACTAAACTCGCCATACAAATCGGTTACGCCGGCTCGACCATAGCAGTGCTTACCGTTGTCATTCTAGTCATTCAGTTCTGCGTAACGACGTTCGTCATTGAGGGAAAACCTTGGAAAAATACATACGCTGGTGATCTAGTGCGGCATTTGATCATTGGTGTAACGGTACTCGTGGTCGCCGTTCCCGAAGGTCTTCCTCTAGCTGTCACCTTATCTCTTGCTTATTCCGTTAAGGTAATTATTCCAATCATTTATTTACTTTTTATGGACTGAAGGTCTTGAAACTTTGCTTGGCGGAACATGTTTCTGTACAATTCTAGAGAACGGGACATAATAGAGATA